TGCTGGATGAAGCCTCTCTGATGACAGTTGGGCTAGGCATCAACCTATAAGTATAATGGAATGTCATTAGGAATCATTTCATTGACTTTTTTTTGCCACTTGTGTTGGGTTCTATACTAGGTCTCTGGGCTGTCCAGCCTCTGGTTCCTGTACTCCAGGCACTGTCAGGGATGGGCTCCCTCTCATAGCATGGGTCTCAGGCTGGACCAGTCATTGGTTGGCCGTTCCCATGATTTCTGTTCCACCTTTACCCCAGCACATCTTATAGGCAGGACAAATTGTAGGTTGAAGGTTATGTGGCTCGGTTGGTGTCCCAATCCCTCCATTGGAAGTCTTACCTGGTTACAGAAGATGGCCAGTTCATGCTTTGTATCCCCTATTGCTAGGAGTCTTAGCTAGGGTCATCTTTGTAGATTCCTGGGAGTTTCCATTACACTAGGTTTCTAGCTTATCCCAGTGATGACCCCCTCCATTCCAGTTGTCTCTTCCTCCATCCTCCCTGTACCTAATCCCTCCTGTTCCCATCCCCACCCTATGTCCATCCAGTCACTACCCAGTCCACCTGTGAAATCTATTTCCCATTCCCAGGGAGATCTAAGCACCACCCCCTTGAGCCCTCCTTGTTACTTAGCTTCTCTGAGTCTGGATTCTATAATTCAGCATGGTTATCCTTTACTTTACAGCTAATATCCACTTATTAGTGAGTACATACCATGTTTGCCTTTCTGGGTCCAGGTTACTTCACTCCAGATGATTTTTTTCTAGTTCGATCTATTTGACTGAAAATTTCATGATGTCATTGTTTTTTAACAGCTGAGTAATACTCCATTCTTCAGTTGAGAGACATCTAGGTTGTTTCCAAGTTCTGGCTATTATGAATAAAGCTACTGTGAACATAGTTGAGCAAGTGTCCTTGTGGTAAGATGGAGCATCCTTTGGATATATGCCCAAGAGTGGTATAGCTGGGTCTTGAGGTAGATCTATTCCCAATTTTCTGATAAACCACCATATTGATTTCCAAAGTGACTGTACAAGTTTGCACTCCCACCATCAATGGAGGAGTGTTTCCCTTGCTCCACATCCTCCCCAGCATAAGCTGTCATCTTTGTTTTTGATTTTAGCCATTCTGACAGGTGTAAGATAGAATCACAGTCATTTTGATTTGCATTTCACTGATGGCTAAGGCTATTGAACATTTCTTTAAGTGTATCTCAGCTATTTGAGATTCTTCTGTTGAGAATTCTCTGTTTAGATCTGTACCCCATTTTTTAATTAGATTATTTGGCTTGTTGATGTCTAGTTTCTATGCTGTAAGACTGAAGGAACTGTGGGTATATGGGGGTGGGGAGCGAGATGGCTCAGTGTGTGAGTAAGGTGTTTGCCACTAAGCCTACCAATCTGAGTTCGGACTCATAGACTCACATGATTAGAAAGAGAAAACCAATTCCTGCAAATTGCCATCTGAACCCACACACACGATGAAGGATGTCCCCCCCAAACTACATTAATTAAATAAAACAAAATTTAAAAAGGATGAAGAGGGGAGAATCATCAATGGATTTGTATAAGAAGAAATAGGCCTATGGAAATATTTGGAGCATTAGAAAAAGCTCTAAGGCATTTTAGACAGAGAAACTGAATGATCCAGGTCAGGGATGCAGGAGGAATCATGGAAATAGGCTGGCATGGAGTTTAAGGGAGTTGTGAGAAAGATGTGTAAGACTTTTTTTTTAATCTGTTGTTTTCCATTATTCTGCTCCAGAATATGTAGTGAAAATGTCCTGTTCCTGGGACTGAGTCTTTTGTCTGATCCTGGTTCTGTTGCAAATTAGTTAGGTAATCATGCCAAGGCATTTATCCTCTCTAGATCTTTGTTGCCTAAGAAGTCAAGTGGATTAATTTAGTGGTTCTTAAGGTGGAAACTACATTGCAAATGTAAGTGTTTGGATCACGGGAATTGTTGTGGCACATCTGAGTTGAGGGATATTAAATATGGTGGGGTTTTTTGTTTGTTTGTTTGGTTGGTTGGTTGGTTGGGGGTGGTGAAACAGGGTTTCTCAGTATAGCCCTGGATGTCCTGGAACTCACTCTGTAGACCAGACTAGCCTCAAATTCAGAGATCCCCTGCCTCGGCCTCCCCAGTGCTAGGATTAAAGGTGTGCACCACCCCTGCCTAGCTGAGTGTTGTTTTGTTCTGGTTTTCATCTCTAAGTGATTGTGATTTATATTCATACTGTTTGAAGATCCACCACATTAAAGATCATTAGTACTACTATGGTGCAGAAATGTAATGTAATGTAATCAATGTAATGATGGTGCAGAAAAATCCCAAATTTGATGTCTACTTGGGCAACTAGTGAATCCTTGTCTTAGAAATTTTTAAAGGTTTATCATTCACAAAGCTGTAGGTTCAATCACACTACCATATACACACAGACAGCCATTAGTCATTCACTTGGTGTGGTGGCATGAAACTATAGTCCAGCTGTTCAAGAGACAGAAACAGGAGGATCACTTGAGCCAAGGAGTTGGAGATCAGGTCTGACAATATAGCAATAGCCCATGTGTATCTCTCCTCCTTCTCCCCCTCCATTACTAGTCATTGGCTTTCTGGAGTTGAAATCACTTGTATCATGGCATAATCAGCTTCAGCTAGGCTTAGAAAGAACATAGATGTTAGTGACAGTCTGACCCAGGTTGATGTTTTCTAGGTCTGTGGCTCTGAGCATGACACCTTTCTTTTCCAAGTTTGAATTTCCTTATCTATAAGATTGAGCTTACAATGCCTGCATAATCAGGTTCTGATGATGTAAGAGGCTAGATCATATTTTGTGGTCGCCTAGCATGAGGTTGATGGATGAACTAGCAACTTGTATGATAGGTGTGCCAGAAGAAAATATCATCAGAGGACAGCATAAAACAGTTCTTTTACTTGGACACATCTGGAGTTAATTGTACCTGTAGATATAAATATGTTATAATACTTTTTGGTTCCCTTGCCTAGATATAAAATTGATACTAACTTTGCTTTACTTTCTGCTTATTAGTGCTTTTGCTCTTATGTGACCTCATGTGTGACATGAATATCAAGAGTGATTAAACTCTTTCTACATCTTGTCAAAAGTTTGATATATTGAAACTTCTGTTACACTCCAGAAAATTATTGTTACTTTAGAACTTAAATGAAACATAGATCAGTTGAGCTAGGCATGATGGTGCATACCTTTAATGTGAGTGAGCACTCAGGAGGCTGAGGCAGGCAGATCTCTATGAGGTTGAGGCTAGCTTGGTCTACATAGTGAGTTCCAGGACAGCCAGAACTACATAGTGAAATCCTGTCTAAAAAAAAGCAGCAGTAACAACTACAATAGCAAACCATAGGTCTGTTGAGTTAAAAAACATTATGAAGATCTGTAGACTATAAAACCAAAGTCTGGGCTTTGCTCTTTCTAGCTGTATGGCTTTGGAGGTAAATGACCTCATAAGTTTTTTACATATAAATGAATTAGTGCATATAAAGTATAAAGGTATATTGCTTCACATAGTACACAGTTAGGATCTGCTAGTCATTGTCATTAGTATGTATTACTATACACCAGTGATGGAGCCAGAAATGCAGCAATAAAGTCTCTGTAGTCAAAGAACTTAGTGGTGGAGCCAGTGTCCAGATAGCTTTCGTATGCTTCATTTACACCAAATAGAGAGAGCATGTGTAGGAAGGGTACTTAATAGTCTGTCTCTTTTTTTTAAGATTTATTTATTTATTATGTATACAGAAGAGGGTGCCAGATCTCATTACAAATGGTTGTGAGCCACTATGTGGTTACTGGGAATTGAACTCAGGACCTCTGGAAGAGCAGTCAGTGCTCTTAACCTCTGAGCCATCTCTCCAGCCCCTGTCTCTCTTTCCATGAAAAATAGTGCTGTTTAGGAGTATGCTTGGTACCAGTGGTGATATGTATTCTGGAGTCAGTTCAGCTTACATTGTATCTCACTCATACAAGCTTTGAGGATAGCCAACCTTTGGCAGCTTAGTTTCTCGATTTTTCAAATGAGGTAAAGTTTCTGGCCCTTGTCTAATAGAAATAATCTCTGTGGGTTTCCTCTGGGGAACCCTATGAGAAACCTCCCTTGTGGAAGTACTCTCCTTTCTTAAGATGCTCCTAAGGGGGAAAAACCAAGAACTGTGAAAGGGAGGTGTTGGTATGCTGGACCTGGGCTTGGTTTCTAGCACCCACTTTGGGCAGTTTAAAACTGCTTGAAACTCCAGTACCAGGGATCCAGTGACCTCTTCTGACTTCCGTGGGCACCTCCATGCACTGGTGCAAATGTATACATTCAGCACACACACATACACATAAAATAAATAAATGTTTTTTTAAAAAACTGATAGGTATGGGGCTGGGGATCTAGCTCAGCAGTTGAGAGCAGTGGCTGCTCTTCCAGAGGACTCAGCTTCAATTTCCAGCACCCACATGACAGTCAGAGCTGTCTGTAACTCCGGTTCCAGGGGACCTGACACACTCACACAGACATGCATGCAGGCAGGACATCAATGTACATAAAAAACTTGATAGATGAACTAAGATTTCTATTTCCACTTCTAAGTACTTTCATTCATATATACCTTACCATGATTGTTGTGATAAGATTTTATAGAATATGCACAGCACATAGATACTGAGCAATAAGTAATGATTTCCATGTTTTTTTTCTTATGAAGGTCTCTTATGGTTTCAAGCAAAAACTTAATATAGTATTATATTAAGTAATAGATTATTGATTTCACAACGTAAAGGTTGGGCAGTTAGTAAACACATGTACTGGCATAATCATGTTCTAAACTGATACACAGTTTGCTTGTTTTCTTCTTTTTGGCCAACGATAATCTTAAATTTTATCATTATAAATTAGGTACTAACCTTCCTGATTTCTAATTTTGTAGGTGTATATAGATCAGTTTCTATGTCATGACATGTTCTCTTTTTCTTCTCTCCTAGGTCTTTCAGAGCCTTGAAGACCACCATTTGGAAGTGGTGGCTTTTTTTAGGGAAAATGGCTTTCATGGCCTTCTTGCTCATGACTCCGAGTACGCGCTCTACAATATTCCATCTTACTACAGTTCCCATGCGCTGAAGCTCAGCTGGAATGGGAAGAACCTCACAACCAACCAGTTCCTGATGCAGGAAGTGGCCAAGCAGCTCGGTTTGAAGCGAATGAATTTTCCCATATTTGCTGCACTGCTAGGTAGGTCGTGTAAAACAGATCCAGTGTTTGATAAAGTTTCTTCTTGCATTGTGTAGCTAGAAGTTTTCCTGTGTCCTGCCCAGTCCTGTGGCCACTCCGTCCCAAGTAAACACACAGAGGCTTATATTAATTACAAACTGTATGGCCTATGGCTCAGGCTTCTTGCTAGCTAGCTCTTTCATCTTAAAGTAACCCATTCCTTGTAATTTATGTGTTTCCACGTGGCTGTAGAATTACTGGACTGCTGGCATCTTGTTGCCCCTTGGCGAGCTGGTGTCTCTCCTGACTCCACCCTTCTTCGTCTCAGTCTTCAGTTTGAGTGTACCGTCTAACCTTATTCTGCCTCACCATTGGCAAAACTGCTTTATTTATCAACTAATGAGAGCAACACATATTCACAGCGTACAGAAAGACATCCCACAGCACATTGACAAGATATGAAGACTAGAGTGGTTTAGCCTGGCAATATTGGATTTGCTTTTTTAGAGTCCTCATGCTGGTTTGGGATGTAGCTCAGTTGGTAGTGCACTTATTGAGCATGCATGTGGCCTTGTGTTCAATCGTAGAACCAGATACATGGGTGTAGTGCAACATGCCTATAATTCTAGCATTCAGGAGGTAGAGACACAAGGACCATCCTTGGCCACATAGTCAAGGCCAGCCTGTCCTATATTAGAAAGACCCTGTCTCAAAAATAAAGCATAAAGTTCTCATACCATATAATGTGGAAAAGCAGTAGGTAGTTAGGGATTCTTAGCAGACCATCCGAAACACTCAGTATGTTATGAATGTATCAACTTTGATAAGAATGTAAACATAAAAATGTCAGTTATGGTGATAAGAACATTTTTTTGTTTGTTTTTTGAGATGGGATTTCACTGTGTAGCCCTAGCTGTTCTGGAACTCCCCTTGTAGACCAGGCTGGCCGCAAATTATATTCCAGAATCGACATGCAGAGTCCTAGTTGCCTTTGCTTCTCCACTAAGACGATTAGCATTTCTTTTCAAAAATCTAGATTTAGACCAGGAAGATGTGTAGACTATGTTTTTCCATTTCTTTTTTGTTAGGACTACATTTGAACAACATTCAGCAGACCTCATCTGCAGTAAGAAGTCTGTCTGTCGCTCCTGCTTGTGCCCTCCATTAACATTTGCAGCACTTGCTTTCTCGTGTACCTATCCATCCTCCATCCACCCACCTATCTGCTTTTCTTTTCTTTTTTGTTGTTTGGTTTTTCATCCAGCTCTCACTGTGTAGCTTAGACTGGCTTCAATCATGAGCTCCTCCTGCCTTAACCTTCCTAATGCTGGGAGTGCAGGCATGAGTCATTGAATCCAACTTTCAGGCTTTCTTTTAAAGATGCATTTCAAAGTAAATTGTAGAATTGATATTTTGAATTGGTTTTCCAAGTATTGACAGCATGAACATTAATAGACTAGAATAGTTGTGACCTTGCCCTATAAGCACAAAGAACATCACTTGGGATAATCTAATTGAATCAGCCCAAGTTTTGGAATTAGATTTTGTGCAAATCACTGAAGTCATGCTTCCCTGGATTCATTTTCCTCATCTCAGAAATGAAAATAGTGTTATTCATGGGGTTAAGTGAGATGAGATATGGAAAGTGCTTTGTACTTGTCAAGTAATCAGTAATTTGCTATTGTAAAATAAAGGCGGCACAACTAGGTAACAGTTTCCTATTACCTGTGATAATGGGTAGCACCATGCATTTGAGAGTCAGACAGTCCTAAGTCTCTGTTCTAGCATAGGCCTACCTTGGGCCAAGTCACTAAGCTTGATTGAATCTCAGTTTCCTTGTCTATAAAATGGAGATAAAACTATGAGGCTTGATCACTATAAAGTAGATACATGTAATACACATGGTACACAGTAGATAATCAGCACATAGATAGCTACTATAATTAATTATTACATTAAGAATATAGGCTTGCCAGATGGTGGTGGCACACACCTTTAATCCTAGCTCTCAGGAGGCAGAGGCAGGCGGATCTCTATGATTTCAAGGCCAGCCTGGTCTACAGAGTGAGTTCCAGGACAGCAAGAGCTGTAATACAGAGAAACCCTGTCTCAAAAAAAAAGTTAAAAAAATATAGGCTTACTGGGTGTTATGGTGCATGCCTTTAATCCTAGCACTTGGGAAGCAGAGGCAGGTGGACCTTTGAGTTGGAAACCAGCTTGGTCTATATATTAAGTCCAGGTCACCCAGAAATATATAATGAGACCTATCTCCAAAAAAAAAATAATGATAATAATAATATAGGCCTGGTTGGGCATGGTAGAGGACTGCTTTAATCCCAGAACTCAGGAGGCAGAGGCAGGTGGATCTCTGTGTGTCTGAGGCCAGTCTGGTCTACAGAGTGAGTTCCAAGATAGCCAGAGCTCCAGAGAGAAACCCTGTCTCAAAAATAAAAAGAATATAGGCCTATTCTTAATTCAGTTATTTTCTCTCCCAGAAGGATCCTCTTTATGACCTAAAAGATGTAAGCAAACATTTGTACAGTGAATAAATGAAATTGTATTTTATAGGTAACCACATTCTACCAGATGAGGACTTGGCTGCTTTTCACTGGAGCCTTTTGGGACCAGAACATCCTCTTGCATCACTTAAGGTAATGTGCCCTATTTTGTGTCTGTACATTTAAGAGACATCAAGGTTTGATTGCACTTTGATGATGTGGAATAGTTGTCTTTCATTAGATTTTTTTTTAAATCTTCGTTTTTAAAGTCTTTTGTTTATTTGCTTTTGAGATTGAATTTTAATCACAACACTTCTTCCTTCTCTTTCCTCCCTCTAAACCCTCTCATATATCCCGATCCACTCATTCTTCTCATTCATGACCCCCCTTTTTTTTTCACCAATTGTTATTACATGCACACATATATTTGTGTGTATACGTGTGTGTGTATTTATTCCTAAATATAACCTGGTGAGTCCATATACTGCTACCTGGATGTATGTTTTCAGGGCTGACAGTTTAGCACTGGACAACCATTTGGTGTGCTCTTCCCTGAGGAGGACCGCCTCTCTCTTTCCCAGCTTTCCTCACTTGCCTATAGTTCTTTGTCTACATGAGGTTGAGGCCTCATGGGCTTTCCCCCATGCACTTTGGCATGTTCATTGGTGTCCTCTTTCATTAAATTTAAAATATTTCACATAAAATACTTGCTGGCAGTGGAAACCCTGATCAAGAAGGTGGTTGCACTTGGCATGTGCTGATTCCTGTGATATTCCAAAATGTGGGAAACTTGACTGCATAATTTGTGGTAGTGTGGAACTGCATTCACACTCTCCCCTTAAAGTAAAACTATATTTCACATGCAGATAAAAATTAGTTCTGATAATACCCATAGACATAAGAATTCATACAAACTGGCAAAGAAAAATACCTCAACAGTGAAAAAAATGAGTAAAAGACTGAATCAGAAAATTGACAAAAGCGTATGACTAATCATAGCCTATGATTATATGACTAATATGACTAGATGCCCAACTTCACTAATGATCGTCATGTACATCCAATGAGTGTTGTGTTGATTTTTGTTACTGGTTTAGCAATTAAAACTGAGTTTACTGCTATGAAGCCTGTAGAAGAACTGATACCCTTTGGCACTGTGGCAGTGGTGTAAATTGGTGATGTTACATTTCCTGTTTTTCACTGTCTTCGATAATTATTTTATACTGTCTCCCTCCTTCAGCCTCTGATACTTTCTCCTCATTGACTCACCCACATTGCATGATCTCACTTCCTATTTCACTGAGCAAATGGAAGTGGTGGGAAGAGAATTTCTATGAACTTCCATTTCCTCTTCACCTCCTCACCTTTAATCTGCTAGTGTCCTGATGACCATGAGTGACTTGTCCATGTCCTATCTAAGGCAAAATCTTCCATTTATAAAGGTCCTATTCACTCCTGCCAGTTTAAAGATACTGGTTCAGTGGGATCCTTTCTCTTGGCATCATCCATTTTTTTTCTCTCTTCATTGGTTATTTCCCATGTGATGTATAAGCATGATCCTTTTAGAAATTTCTGTGTATTTTTCAATTTAAATATATTTATGAGTGCTTTGTCTGCATGTATGTCTGTTTACTACATTCGTGCATAGTGCCTACAGAAGCCAGAAGTGGACATCACATCTCTTGGGACTGAAGTTACAGATGTTTGTGAGCTGCTATATGAATGATGGGGATTGAACCTGGTTCCTCTGGAAGAATAGCCAGTGCTCTTAACCCGTGATCTATCTCTGTAGCCCCAGTCCTTTTTTTAAATGGGAGATAAGACCTGATGCCAACTAGCCTTGAACTCAAAATTCTCTGGCTTCAGCATCCTGAGTTCTGAAATTATAAGCAAATGCTACTATGGATGGCTGTGTATGATTTGGGTGTGTATGATTCAGGTTTACAAATAAACGCCCCCTTTTTGTGTGTGTATGTGTGTGTCCGTGTGTGTGTGTCCGTGTTCCTAGCACTGGGATAACAGGTGTGTGCTGCCCATATCTGACTTTTTATACAAGTATTAGGGATCTGAGCTCAGGTTTTTGTGCCACTTGAGCATCTGAATCATCTAGGGGTTAGGGGAGGGATGGTTCATTGATAAAGTACCTGCTGGACAAACATAAGGAGTTTGATCTCCAGACAGGAAAGACAAAGCAAAAAAAAAAAAAAAAAAGCAGGGTTGGTGGTACATGCTTAGAACCCTAGCCCTGGGGAGGTGGAAACAGGCAGATTCTTGGGGTTCTCTCGTGAGCCCCAGGTCCTAATCAGAGACCTTGTCTCAAAACACAAAGTGGATGGCTACTAAAGAGTGATGTTGACCTCTTACCTACACGCACATACATAGACACACACACACACACACACACACACACACACACACACACACACACACACACATTACTAGGCCACATGCTCTTTTAGTTTTTTAGGAAAGTGCAGAATAAAACTTGTTCTGGGTCTGAAGAGACCGCTCATTTAGTAAACGCTCTGTCCCAGCACCAACACAAAAGCTGCACAAGATGCTTTGTACTTGTAATCTCAGTGCTGGGAAGACTGAGAGGCAGATCCATGAGGCTTGTTGGCCAACTAGCCTACCCTAGGTGAGGAGCCCATATATATACCAGTGATTGTCTTAAAAACAAGATAAACCACTTCTGAGGACCAGTACTCCAGGGTGACCTTTGGTCTGCCTATGCATGTGCGCCTGCCCCCCCATTACACACACACACACACACACACACACACACACACACACACACACACACGTACACACTATACAAATTTGTTTTTGGAAAAAATTGACAGTGCTCAGGATTGAACCCAGAGCCTTAAACATGATAGGAAATCAGTCCACTTCTAAACTATATCCCCAGCTCTGAAATTTGTTCTTTAGCATTACGAATCTGTCTTATTTTGTCTGTGGAAAAAAAAAACTGATAGGGAAGGAACTAGACTATTTGGGACAAATAAGGAGACTGTTGAGAGGGTAATAAGGAGGCGAATATGATCAAAATACATAATGTTCATACATGAACATATCATAATGAAACCTACTCTTTTGTATAGTTAATATATACTAATTTTAAAAAGAGGACTCAGTGTGTGTGTCACTTTTCTATTTAAAATCTTATAATGACTGTTCATGTCACTCAGTCCTTCTCATAGCCTGCCAACCCCAGCACTTCCTAGCCCCTTAGAAGCGTCATACTTAACATTCTCTCTACTTGGATTGCCTTTTTTTCTTACATAGCCATTTTCTCACTCCTAAAAGTTCTGTCAAATGTCATTTTCTTCATGAGGCTTTTCCCAATCCCACTATTTAAAATTATATATGCATATATGCATACATACATACATACATGCGTATCACCTTATCCAACACATTTACTGTTTCTGCTGCCTTGAAGGCAGTGTTCTTGTATTTGGTCTTCACTGCTGTGTCCCTGGTGCCTTAGGACATTGTCTGGCCAATGCCTGACAGTAACTGTTTCATACAGGGCCTCTGTACATAGCCCTGGCTGACCTAGAACTCACTATGTAGGTGGACTAGGCTGGCTTCAAACTCATAGGGATCCACCTTCCTCTGCATCCAAGAGTTAGGATTGAAGGTGTGTGCTATCACATTAAACATAGTGACTTCTTAAAAAAATATTTTTATTTCTATTTAATTTTATGTGTATGGGTATTTTGCCTGCTTGTATGTGTATGCACCCCTTGCATTCCTGGTGCCCATGAGGCCAGAAGACAGTGTTGGGTCCCCTGGAGTTAAAGGCTGCTGTGAGCTGCCATATTGGTGCTAGAAGTTGAACCTGGGTCCTCTGGAAGAGCAGCAAGTACTCTTAGTCTCTGAGCCATCTCTCCAGCTCCATTAGTAACTGTTTTATGAGGAATGAATGATGCTGTTTGTTGGTAAAATATTTTTTTCTTACCAAATGACCCCTTGTGACTTGGAATGTTTATGAATCTTGCTTTTTAAATTTGATTTTAGTTATGTGTATGTAAATAGGCAATATGTGCACATGAGTGCATTTTGCCCACAGAGGCCATAGGTGTGGATCCCCTCAAGCTGGAGTTAGAAGTGGTTGTGAGCTGCCTGATGTGTGGGTAGTAGGAATTGAACTCAGGTCCTCTTGAAGAGCAATATGTGCTATTCACTGCTGAGCCATTTCTCCAGCCCCCAACAAAATAAATTTTATCAAAAGCCTTTTGGAGATTTATACCATTGATTCAATAATTACAGTGTAAAGGAACTTATACTTAAAGAATTATCAATGAGGCAACAGAAACCTACATTTTTATCTAGCATCAAAAATTTTCACTTTAGGGCTGGAGAGATGGCTCAGAGGTTAAGAGCACTGGTTTCTCTTTCAGAGGTCCTGAGTTCAATTCCCAGCAACCACATGGTGGCTCCCAACTGTCTGTAATGAGATCTGGTGCCCTCTTCTTGTGTTCAGGCATATATGCAAGTAGAACATTGTATACATAATAAATAAATAAATCTTTAATTTTTTCATTTTATATTGATTTATTCATTCATTATTTGTATATTTATGTGTGTATTTATTTATTCTTCTCTCATATAATACCTCCCAACCATAGTTTCCCCTCTCTCCACTCCTCCCAGTATTCCCCTTCCCTCCCCCCAGATCCACTACTTCTCAGTTTCCCTTCAGAAAAGAACAGGCCTCCCATGGATATCAACCAAACATGGCATAACAAGTTACAGTGAGACTAGGCAGCCGGGCGGTGGTGGCGCACGCCTTTAATCCCAGCTCTTGGGAGGCAGAGGCAGACCGATCTTTGTGAGTTCAAGGCCAGCCTGGTCTACAGAGCAAGATCCAGGACAGGCACAAAGCTGCACAGAGAAACCCTCTCTGGAAAAAACAAACAAAAAACAAAAAACAAACAAAACAAAGACTAGGCATAAACCTTCTGATCAAGGCTGGATGAGTCAACCCAGTAGGAAGAAAGGCCCCAAGAGCAGGGGACTGAGTCAGAGACACCCCCACTCCCACTCTTAGGAGTCCCACAAAAACACCAAGCTAACAGCCATAACATATCTGCAGAGGACCTAGCTGAGACCCATACAGGGTCTGTAGTTGTTGTTTCAGTCTCCGTGAGCCCCTAAGCCCGGGTTGGTTGATTCTGTGATGTCCTCGACCTCTCTGACTCATACAGTCCTTCCTCCCACTTTTCCACAGGGTTCCCTGAACTCCACTAACGTTTGGCTGTGGGTCTCTGCATCTGCTCCCATCAGATGCTGGGCGAAGCCTCTCTAATGACAATTGGGCTAGGCACCAATCTGTGAGTGTAGCAGAATATCATTAGGGATCACCTCATTGACTTTTTTTGAATATCACAAACATGGGCAAAACAATAGATTATTGCAATTATTTAGCATTGTTTAATCATTTAGATCAACTACCAAGATTTTTGCCATGCTTGCTGGATTTTCTTTTATTGCCAATATGACTTTAAACAAATGACAAGTTATTTTACTTGCATATTCTTTGTGTATGGCTCTAAAATGTTTGCACATTTTCTTGCATATGCACATGGACATTATCACTCCTAACGAAAGTAACGCTAATTTCTTGTCACCATCCTTTTATTTGGGGGAATATATATTTATTTATTTATTGTGTGTGTGTGTCATGATGATGTGTAGAGGTCAGAGGACAGCTTGCAGGAGTTGGTTCTCCTCCTGTACCATGTGGGTTCTGAGGATCCAATGCAGGTCATTAGGATTGGCAGTAATTGTCTTTATCCACTAAACCATCTTGCTGGCCTGTTACCTTAATATCTAATACATTTTACAACTTTCCTGATTCTTTCAAAATGGCCTTTTTGTGGTTAGTTCAAGTCAGGATATAAAGATTCTCCATATATTACAGAATTCTTTTTGTTTAAAGATTTTGTAAGTGTGAGTGTGTGTATGGCATATGTGCACATGTGTGTGGGTGCTAATCCAGAGGCCAGAGGATGATATCAGGTGTCATGCAGTATAACTTTCCACCTTATTCTTTTCAGATAGGGTCTATCATTGCACCTGGAATTAGATTGGTGGTCATTAAGCCCCAACAGTGCTCCTATCTACAGACCCACCACCAGCACAGACCTGTGGGCTACAGACCTGTGTGACCGTACCAAGTTTTTTATGTGGGTCTGAAGATTCAAACTCATTTATTTTTATGATTTTTAGCTATATATATGTGTATGTGTGTAGTATGTGTGTGCATGTGTGTATGTGTGTGCACGCACACAAGGGCATATGGTTAGGTTTACATGAATACAGGTGCAAGTAAGTGCAGATTCCCACAGAGGCCAGAGGCATTGGCTCTCCTGGAGCTGAAGTTACAGATGGTTGTGAGTTTCCTGACATGCTGGTACTGGGAACTGAATTGCAGTCTTCTAGAACAGCAAGTGCTTGTAACCACTAAGCCATCTTGCTAGTCCCTCATTATTAATTTTATCATTGACTGATGCCTGAGAACATAAATTTCTATGTATCAATGGAGTGCTATGTGATTTCTTTTAATAATTTCTAAATAATTTCATACATGTAAATAATGAATCTAATCTTTTGTGGGTGGCAGGGTTCAAGACAGTGTTTCTTTGTGTAGCCCTGGCTGTCCTAGAACTTGTTCTATAGACCAGGCTGGCCTCGAAATCAGAGAGATCCGCCTGCCTCTGCCTCCCGAGTGCTGGGATTAAAGGTGTGGGCCACCATGCCTGGCTGTCTTTTTTTTTTTTTTTTTGACCCATTGTGTTTAGTTAGAGTTACTTGCATGAGCAGGTGTTTGTTGTTTATTTTTTTAAGATTTCATTATTTTTTATTTATGTATACATATGTACTTGCATATATGTCTGTGTGCCATGTGCATACCTGTACCCAAAAAGTCCAGATGGGGATGTTGGATCCTTTGGAACTAGAGTTAAAAGCAGTTGTGAGGCACCAACTGAATGCTTGGAACTGAACCCAGGTATTCTGCAAGAGAAGCAAATATTTTAACTGCCATGCCAGCTCTGCAGCGCTGGATAGGGTTTTCATGTCACACGGGCAGCTTACTCGTGGCTGCACCGCTGAGAATTCGGTCTTTTCATCCCGTCCTGTCCAGCTTGCATGCTGTGTTTCTTGTTTTAATTACCTTGTCTTGGTTGTCACCTGAGTGTTGTTATTCTTCTACTTCATCCTCAGGCCCTGGCATTGCGTCTTCCCATGATTCGTTCTATTGGTGAGGCTTTCCACTGAGCGTTTAATTATTTCCAATAATTCAGTTTGGGTTTTCTTCCATATTTCTGTGTCTGTATGGGATTCCATTTCAATATCTTGCATTGACTTCCTTGTTTCATTCAGCTATTAGCCCCCACCATTTTGAAATGCAGTTGAGATTTTGTGTCCTTAATTTCTCGGAACATATTTATGATTATTCTTTTGAATTCCTTGGAATTTTGTTTAAGTCACTCTCATAGGGGGCATTACTGTGGACTTTGTAATTTTTAGAGGAGATATGTAACATTGTATTTTCCTGTTTTTTTTTTTTTTTTTTTCGAAACAGGGTTTCTCTGTGTAGCTTTGCGCCTTTCCTGGAACTCACTCGGTAGCCCAGGCTGGCCTCGAACTCACAGAGATCCGCCTGGCTCTGCCTCCCGAGTGCTGGGATTAAAGGCGTGCGCCACCACCGCCCGGCTGTATTTTCCTGTTTTTATGTTGGGACTTGCAGGTATACAGTTAGGTTGCTGCTTGGATTTTCTATTTAATGTCACCTTTATTTTTGCATACTAATGTTCGCAATGTTCAAGGGGAGATAGGTTTTGATGGGTTGAGGTGTCATTGTCCTGTTGCACTAGTGCTCAGAGCACCAGAGTTGATCCCCAGCATTCCCCAAGAGTAGAATGCTGTCGCAACAATAGTCACTATCGAGGCATAGGCCCGTTATGATACTGTACAGTAGTAGTAAAGTACAAAACCATCACCACTTCAGCATCAATCATTTTGAGAAAAGGCACTGATAGTATGTGTGTGCCAATATACTAATGACTGTGGATCTTAGGAGAAAGCTTAGTACATCTAGCGGTTAGAATTGGATTGCTAGAAAGTAGAGAGAACATGAATAGAAAGGGCAAGGGCCGAAAGTGGAGGACATGAGGCAGTTTTCACTAACAGACTGAAATCAGGGAACAGACAACAGTTCCAGTTCTCAGAAGGCTAAGACACAGAGACGCCCTGCAAACTAGGCAAGCCTATGTTATTTAGAAGAGGAAAGTGGAAAAGGAAGTTGTAAAGAGAAAGGAAAAGAAGAACAGATGCAGGACAAGAACAGCAGGACCAAGTCTGCTTGCTAAATTGACATTTGGTATTGAGTAAAGGAGGAGTTGTCTGGAGTACTACTCTGAGCTTAGGTGAAGTTCCTCTGCAAACCCTGCCTCCCAGTAGGCTTTCTGCTCCCTTAATACTGTGGTTCCAATGAAAACTTCCTTTACCCCAGGTTAGCAATATTCCACTGGCTAGATTTCAGTATATAGTCCCTGCAGCTCTTCCTGAGTTTCCCCAAAAGTGTGCCTCAAGAATGTGTCTTGGACAGCCTAGCCACCTACACAGCATGGCCTTTTTGAAATGGCATCTGACTGCTGCTCCACTGAGTTCTGAGTGCCAACCACCCCAGCACTGAGAACAGACTTTTTCCAGTACCTCTTCCCATCATTCCTGCTGTTGTTTTTCTGATGCTCTAAAATGTCTGATACAGAGTGGGCAAGAGCCTTTCCTGCTTTGTAAAGTTTCCTATACTGTTATTTACCTAGGAACATTTGGGTATTGGCCACCTCTTCGATAACTGTTGTATAGTTCTTTTCTCTTTCATTTCTGGGAGACTCTAGCACACCCTGCCAGGACGTCATCCACCTTTGGAATTTCTCTTAGTGATCCATCTTTCTTTCTTTCTTTTTTATCTTTTATTTTTATTTTCCGGAGCTGAGGATCGAACCCAGGGCCTTGCACTTGCTAGGCAAGCGCTCTACCACTGAGCTAAATCCCCAACCCAGGGATCCATCTTTGACTTTTGTAGCTGCTGGGACAGCTGTGGGTGCTGGGAACCAAACTCAGATTTTGGTTGAAAGCCTAGCCTTCAACAGCTGAGCCGTCCGTCCCTCCAGCCCCCATCTTTGACTTTGGTGTCCTTTACTTGTCTTTTCTAGGTCCGAGCCCATCAGTTGGTCCTTCCACCTTGTGATGTCGTGATCAAGGCTGTTTCTGAGTATGTCAGTTCCATCAAAGACCCCTCAAACCTAGATGTGGTTGGGAAGGATGTTTTCAAACAATCTCAGGTGAGTTGGCCTTTCCCTTCCCAAGAATCACTGGCTTTCTCTTTTTTTTTTAATTTAAAAAATGGATTTTGGGTGCACACATGTTTGCAGCTGTGTGCATGCCGTGCCATGTGTGTGGAAGCCAGAGGACAGCCTGTGGGAGTTGGTTCTCTCCTTCCACCTTGTGGGCTGTAGGAATCCAACTCATGTTGTCAGCCTTGCTGGCAAGTGTCTCTGCTTGCTGAGCCGTCTCGCTGGCCTTCACCGCCTTTCTCACATTCGCTTGCTGCACTCCCAAGTTCTCTGTTCTTTCTGCTGGTCCTCAGCTTTCCTCCTTGCTACTTGATTTCCCCCGCTTACTGACGGAAATTCTAAAATTTCCTTTAAAAATGTTCTGAGGTCTGAATAGAAAAGGGTCCTTTTTTTTCTACTGATGATTAATGTACTACAAACATATTCAGAAAAATTAGAAAATAAGCCTAAAATTTCATTCCCCAGAAACAACTCATTACAGTTAATGCTCTTATGTGTCTTCTTTCAGTGTTACATGCTAGGGATCAAACCCAGGGCTTGACACATGCTAAAGAAACACTCTACAACTCAGCTACACCCTCAGCTGATTTTGATGTATGCATATTTTTGATGTTTTTGTTTATTTATTGTGTGTGTAAGCCACAGTGCACATGTGGCCAGAGGACAACTTTGGTATGTTGGCCCTCTCCTTCCACCATGTGGGTTCTGGGGATTAAACTCAGGTCACCAGGCTTGGTGGCAAGTGCCTTTACCCACAGAGCCATCTCATTAATGTATATTTTAACCTAAAGGATGTCTTACTGGAGGATGAAGTAGATAATAAATAAAAAAGACTATTTAAATGAGTCTCCATAAAATAAGACTCAAAGTAATTGTTACTATTGGGAGAAAAGGCCCAACTAGGATTTTATGTTATGAAGTAAAAATTACAAAAATAAGTTGGAGCCAGGCGGTGGTGGCGCATGCCTTTGATCCTAGCACTCGGGAGGCAGAGGCAGCAGATTTCTGTGAGTTCGAGGCCAGCCTGGGCTACAGAGTAAGTTCCAGGACAGGCTCCAAAGCTACACAGAGAAACCCTGTCTCAAAAAAACAAAAAAAAGTTGGTTTTATTTTTAGCAATATGATTTATATGTGCAACTCTGAGATTTTTTTGACTTATTATTTTTTTAAATTAACATACAATCAGTTTGATATTTTGTGTGTACAGTTCTATGAAATCTGAAGTTATTAATTTATATGATTATCATTACACTCAGAATACAGAAAAGTTGTAATACCCCATCCCCCCTGATTCTTATGCTATCCCTTTGTAATACCACTGAAACTCATTCCCAACACCTGGGTATTCTCTGTCACTATAGTTATGGTTTCTAGATAAAGTTATATGGATGGAATCATAAGAGACATAATAGCTTGAGAATGTCTTTTGTCATTCAACGTAATATTTTTAAGATTCTTTCAAGTTGGACTAGAGAAATGGCTCAGTGGTTAAGAGCATGTACTGTTTGTGCAGAGGACTGGAGCTCACAACTGCTTATAAGTAGCCCCAGGGACTCCAACACTCTCTTCTGGCCTTCAGGGCCACCTCCGTGTATGTGGCATACACACACTGTCATTCCCCCATACACACACAAAAAGAAACTTTTTAAAGAAAAACAAGAATTTTCAAGTTGTTTGATATTATGTGTGTGTCAGTAATTCATTTTTTAAAAGATTTATTTATTTATTTATTACGTGTACAGTGCTCTGCCTGCATGTATGCCTACAGGCCAGAAGAGGGCACCAGAACATTACAGATGGTTGTGAGACACCATGTGGTTGCTGGGAATTGAACTCAGAACCTCTGGAAAAACAGCCAGTGCTCTTAACCACTGAGCCATCTCTCCAGCCCCAGTAATTCATTTTTATGGGTATATTAACAGCTCATTCATCTGCACATGCCTTAAAGAATATTTAGATTGGATATAAATTTGAGTGGTTATAAATGGAGCTACTGTAAACACTTGCATACAAGTTTTTGTATGAATATAGTGTTTCATTTTCATAGTGTAAATATCTGTTTGAGATATGTCTAGATTTCTAGAACATCTGTTAAGTGTATGTTTAAATTTATGTTAATGCCAAATCACTTTTCACAGTAGCGTCTCTTTCCTTACCAGTGCTTGGTCGATATTTTAACTTAAATGTTCTGCCTTTTTTGTGTGTATGTATGTATGTGTGGGCAGTGGGTGCATGCTATGATGCTCATAGGGCGGTCAGAAGATAACCTCAAAGAGTCTCTTCTTTCCTTTATCATGTGGAATCCAACTCATGCGGGAATAGTGGCAAGCATTGGCTTGCTAGTCCTGATTTATTTGTAAGTGTATAGCACCTTGTCCTGTTAGGCAAGTACTCTACCACTCAGCTATACCCACATTTGCTAATCATAGTTTTAATTTGTATTTATAAATGGCTCATAGTGAACTTTTGTTTATGTTTAAAGACAAGGACTCACTGTGTAGTGCTGGCTGTCCCAAAACTGGCTATGTAGACCATGCTGTCCTTAAACTTGCACTGATCTCCCTGTATCTGCCTCCTGAGTGACAAGATTTCAGGCATGTGCCACCATAGACAATGAACATTTTTTTTACACTTACTGTCAATTTCTCCTAGCATTTCTATGTAGGTTCTAGGGATCAAACTAGGGTCCTCATGCTTACAAGGCAAGGACCTTACTGATGGAGCTATTTCTTCAACCTCTCTTTTTAAAAAAGCCAGATAATTGTATATTTTCTATTTATATCTCTAGTTCATTTGTGTGTAAACTATGAGGGCATTTGTCTTTTGTTTTTGTATGTGGTTATCCAGGTATCTGAAAATAGTTTGTTGAAAGGACTATTTTTGTCTCCCTTGAATTGCCTTTATGTTTTTACTTTTAAAAAATCAGTTGACTATATGTGCATGAGTGTATTTCTGTACTGTGCGTGGGTGGGGGTGTGTGGGGGGGAGGGGTGATGTGTGTATATATATTGTTTCACCAAAAGTGCACCATCTTTATGACTATAGCACAATATTAAGTCTTGAAGCTGGGTAGTGATTCTTCCAGTCTCAGTCTTATTTTGTCTTTGTAAGCTCTTGCCTTTCCATATAAATTTTGGAATAGTATTGTTTGTATCTACAAAAAAAAAACAAAGAAATTTTGCTTGAATTTCTGTTGGAAATGTATAGAGGAAATTCATTTGTTTGTTTGTTTGTTGTTTTTCAAGTTCTACTGATTAAACCTAGGATCACATGTACCAGTTGCCCATCATGGGGTTATATCCCCAGCCATTTTTTTTAACTTTTTCTTTGTCAATAAGGTCTCACTATATTGCCTTGAATTAATTTTCTACCTCAGTCAGGTCTTGAACTTGTGATCTTCCTGGCTCTGTCTTCCAAGTAGCTAGGATTACAGGTCTGTACAGTTGAGCTCAGTTGTGAATATTTGAATTCAGTAGCATTAAATCCATTTTATTTATGCCTTCCTTGACTTTTTTTTGAGATAGGATTTCTCCTTGTAGCCCTGGTTGTCCTTGAACTCACTCTGTAGACCAGGATGGCCTAGATCTGCCTGCCTCTGCCTCCTGAGTGCTGGGATTAAAGGTATGTGCCACCACTGCCTGGCTTTTCTTTGATTTTTAAAACTCTGTTGGATGTTTTATAGTTTTTAACATATAAACCCTGCATTTTTGAAATTTATTTTTATATTTATACTTTTACTTTGTTTCTTATGATGCTAGATATTGACCTCAGGGCCTTGTGCATGTTAGACAAATAGTCTATCACAGACAGAGCTATGCTCTCAGGCTCTGTACATGGTTTTTAGTATTTATACTAAATATTGCATATTTCATTTATTGCAAAAACACTATTTTGTTTATTTTTTTATAATTATTCATAGAAATATGATTGATTTTTGTGTGCTGAGTCTTGACTTGGAGCTTTCTATGCTCACTTATTAGTTCTAGGACTTTGTGGTAGACTTCCTGGGATTTTTGGTTTAGGTGGTCATGTTTCTGAATGGAGATGGTTTTCTTTCTTTGTTTTCCAATTTGTGTGCCTCCCTCCCAAACCTGAATTATTTTATTGTTTAGAATTTCCAAACCTTGCTCAATAGGAATGCTGAGACTAGAATACCTTTTCTTATTCCTGCTCTTTAGAGAAATTATTGTCTTTATTATATCTGATATGAGCTGTAGGTTTTGGAGACAGACATTATCAGGACATGCATGTGTTCTAGTCTTAGTTTGCTAGGATGATTCATTGTTATCATTATACTGAGTGCACTGTGCATTGTGTGTATGTGCATACTTACATTTGTGACAGTGCACTGGGATGTTTATGTACATACATGTGGAGGCCAGAGGTCAATGCCAAGTGTGTTCCTCAGTCACTCTCTATTTTATTTTCAATATTTATTCATTTTTAATTATATATGCGTGTGAATATGCACATGTATGCACATGCTGAATCCCCTGGAACTGGAGACATAGGCAGTTGTGGGTGCTAGGGCCTAAACTTGGTCTTCTGGGTATGTGCTAATTTTGAAAAGATTTGTTTTAATTATGTGTCTGCATGCATGTGTGTGCATACACAAAGTGCAGGTGCCCTTGGAGACAAGAGACATTGGATCTCCTGGGTATGGAAATTACAGGCAATTGTGAGATGCCCAATGTGGGTGCTGGGAACTGAACTTAGGTCCTCTGGAAGAACAGTCCTTGCTATTAACCCCTAGCCCTTTCCTCCAGCCTGTGGCAGTACATACTGTTAACCACTGAGCCATTTCTCCAGCCCCTCCATCTTATTTTGTGAACCAGGGTCCCTCACTGAACCTGGAGCTCACCCATTTGGCTAGGTTGGCTGGCCAGTGAGCTCCAGGAATCTACCTGTTTCTGCTTCCTCAGCACTGGAATTACGAGTGTATGCCTCTATACCCACCTCTCTGTGTGTGCTAAGCATCGGAACTTAAG